TGTTTTCAGTTTGCTTGCTTGTTGAATTTATTCTTTTCATTTTTAATATTGGACTCTGTTAAAACCATGTGAATAACTTGGAATCATTTATTTTTCAGTTTTACTTTATTTTACTCTTTAATATCAATTTTATTACAAATCTTTACAGTTTCGTTCATCTTTTTGATCGTTGGAGTATTTGGGTTTACAATTTTGTTACTAAGCGTTGTCTGACAAATTATTTTTTTAATATTTATGATGCATTCTTATCATTAACATATTTAATTTATCACTAACATAATAATAGTTATATTATTTGGAATAAAATCAAGCTTGTTGATTTATACAGCAATAATTAATATTCGGATTCGTCTACAAAGGCTTTTAAAAAATGATTTTTAATTATTTTTGAAAGAATAATTAATGCAAAGAACTTAAAATTAAAGTTTTTATAAATTAAATAAGTATGTACATATAAAAAATTTTCAGAATTTGTTTTGCATTTTTTTATTAAAAAATTTTGTTTGGCTGGGCTACGCAAGAGGGAAATAGGTCAAAAAAGTCGTTTTTTCACGTTACGTAATATTCGAGCGTCCCCTCTTACTTAATACTGTTTTTATTCTACAATTTTTCAGCTAGCAAGTTTTTTTTTGCTGAACAATAATTTGAATTAGGAAACGTCTTTTTTTTTTTAAGTCGAGACAATTTTCCACCATAAAAGAGCAAGAAATTATGTTTATTTATTATGTTATCAAAAATCTGCTCAGTCGTGTAGTGATTTATTTAAAAAATGTTTTTAATTGAAGTATCTGCTCTGTGAGATTACCAATGTATCAACAGATACTGGCATTAAACTTTTTCAAAACAACAATTTCGTTGCTACAAACCTTTCATAGAATGTAACCATTTTGAAAGTGTCAAGTCAAATAAATTTCAGCTGTCACGTATAATTCAACATTGTTCTACATTAAGATATAATGAATATTTTGAAACAATGATACAAACTCACATTCTTTTCAATATCAACCAGAATGTTAAATGCATCTTGGAATCATTTATTCGCTGGGCAAGACATACATCGCGAGGCAATGAGATGCTGGTTAATCAGTTCAGCCTGACTAATTTCACAAGACAATCAGACGACTATCTTGATGTGGTTCTGTGCTTCGCATTATGCCTCATTGTTTGTGGCTATACGTGATTTTATGTTTGAGGAATGCTGTGGTGTAGTATGTTATTATGATATTTTATTTTATTATGTTATTAGGCAATTGTTTCATTTGTCTATTTTTCGTTTGTTTTTTAGTTGTTTCGATGTTACAATATAAAGCAAAAAATCAGGTAGGTAGAAGAAAAAGATTAAATTAAATAATATTATTTTATTTTTAGCTACATTTTGATGAACATTTTAAAGTCCTTTTTGATTAAAGTAATGATGTAAATGTTTTTCTTGGCAGATTAATTGAAACATTTTGTTGAGGCATGAAGCGTTATCAATCAGTTTCAAACTATGAGCGGTTCACTTACGTTGTCTCCGTAAAAGTTTTTCTGAAGTATCGTAGTTATGACTTGCATTAACTTTTCGGTTTTTCTAAGCATTCTTTTTTCTTTTAATTAAAAGAAAACATAAAAGTCTTAACATCTAAAGCAAAGTTGGTACTTGTAATGCAATATTTTTTCAAAGTGTAGATGCAACATTTCTGGTGGTTGCACCGTTGTCAAATTTGTTTTGAGTGGGCTGTGCTTTCAAATCTTCTGCAACGTGTTCATGTTGATTGATGAGCGTCAGTGCGGGCTGACGTGGCTAACATTGCTTTTTTAATGGGCTTATTTGCTTGAATTTCATTCATTAATTTTTTGAAAATGTTTGAAAATTGTTTGGTTGGTGGGAAACGCTGGCTGTTGATAATGATTGCATTGATGATAATGAATAATGAATGTAACGATTATGATGATAGTGATGGACATGATGGTTGTAATGATGAATATGATTGCATATGATTGAGCTCAAAAGTAATTAATTTTTATCGACGTTATCTTTACAACTGATACTTCGTTATGAAATGCAACAATGATTGGCTGTATGTTTTTGTCGTTTAATTTTTTTCAGAATTAGAGCGCGGAAGGTAACTTGCCAGTTTCATATTTTGTAACATCTTACTCATTTGTGAAATAATGATTAAATGATTAAATCGCTAAAATATGCTAAATAATCTCAATATAATTGAAAGACTACCCCAAACGGTTCCCATCTGGAGACTATATCAACCTGAAATCAACACGGAACTAACTCAATTCAATAAATTAACAGAACAGAATATCATCAAATTATTAGTTCAAGAATTTCTTCAGTAACATAAAAACTATACTACCTTATACACTGATGGGTCTAAATTGCAACGATCTACATCATTAGCAGCATTAATAGACGGTCAAACAATTAAACATTTGTCGAAAAATATCGCAATAAATTTGGCTCTTCATAAAATCTGAGACGAATAAGTTTTTTCGTAATAACAGATTTACTATCAAGTGCTCTAGCCAAGTTAAATACAAAAATTCATTTAATGGCGCAAAATAGATGTGGTATTTAAGTTCTTTGGATACTAAGCCACATCGTAATACCAGGCAATGAGGATGCAGACACCTTGGTGGTAGAACATTATCAACCAATATCAGATATCCCAATACCATTTATTGATTTCAACTTGATAATTAATAGACATATTCAAAAATTATGGCAAAACCTAGGTGGAACCTAACAAAAACTTTTCTTCGGCAGATACGCCTATGCATTGAGGATAAAAATCTAAAATTAAGCATTAATCGCTTCATCCTCTGCAAAATTTACAGGATGATGATAGGGCACACTAATATAACTCACAATTACATTTGAACAAAACAGACGTTCCAGTCTGCAAATAGTGTCCAAACATCTTACCAATACAGCATTTATTATCATGCCAAAATTTCAAAGAAATTAGAACCAAACATTTTATATCAGAAGATTCTCTGACAACTTTAAATCCACGACAAGCATTGTTTTAGTTATACACTTTTTCGAAGAGTAACAATACTTTGTACCGTTAATTTAATTTAACTCTTGGTGGAAACAGTCAAACCAATTTAAGTTTTCTTGTTCTTTTTGTTTAATTGTTAATAAACCCACATATTTGCATAGTCGTCATTTAATGAACTATCTTAATTAAATACTACGATTTTATGTTGTATTGTGTGCAATTGGACTGCTATTTATTCACGGTGGTCATTACAAGTTTTGTTATTATGTGATCTCCGTAAATCCGCACAATCTGTTTTTTTTCATTTTGTGTTTTTGGATTTTAAATAAATAGAATTTTTTTGACGATATTTAATTTTATAGCTCCAAGCAGAAATCTTGATTTGATGTCCCATCAGAAATGATGTCCCTCTGGCACGTCATAGTACCAAATAGGGAGCTGAAATGCCATTAAAGCTGATAAAACAACAAAATTAAATCGATTTTTGAATAAAAATGTTGAATGGAAAACTTTTAATTCTTGAGAATATATAATAATATAATATAATAGCGGATTGATGCTAGGCAATTGAACTTCTTTTTTTTTAAGATTTTACCTCTGAATTCAATGAATTAAAAAACTAGACCAGAAATTATTTTCAAGAATCGTATGCCACTGGAATTGAAAAAATGTGTTTAATAAAATTATATACATTTTTAGTTGTGGAACCCTAATAAATAAGAGAGGCAGAGGCAAGAGGTTTTCTTGGGATTGCACCCTGTTGTAAGTAATATTCAAGGTACATTTATTTATAAATCTGCTTTTGAGATTGACGTAGCGTCTCAACAGCAAACAATTTACAATGTGTTAATTTGGTTCGCAAAGTGAAATGACTAGACTATAAAGTTATAAGTGGAGCAAAGTTGAATTTCGTTAACCTTTTAAACATTGCGTGATTGCAGGCTGGAGCAGATTTTAAACAATATAGACCCACCAACGTTCATAACAAATTTCAAATAAGGTGATGCCAACATCGTAGCTGAGTCGAGTGTGAAAAATTCCAAATAATTTTGATTGATTGATTGATTGATAAAAATTTATTCAACAGTGCGGCAATCATGTTGATTACATGCTTGAATGCCCAAATAACATCTGCTTCAATGAAAAAATGAAACGTGCTTGTCTAGTCAGTTTTTTCGTCGGGAATTTGTTTTAATATTCTCACCAAATTTTGTTTTGCGCTCTTTTCTTCATGTTCTAACGCTGTGCATCTAAGTGGATTTTTATTTATTTTAGAAATTATCGTCGCAGCGCTTTTTATGTTCCAAAATGTCTTCGGTAAATGTTAACAGTTTATTTTCACCACTAATTAGCTTGAAAGATCAAGACGTTCATTAATCTTTCCAAAATTAGAATTTTTTGAAATTGAATCGATGTGTGTGTGTTGTGTGTGGTGTGTGTGTGGTGTGTATGTGTAAGTGAAATATTACCTGCTGTAAAGCTACATGCTAGCTTATTTGAAAACATATTTAAAAGTATAACATTTTTACTGAATTTGCATTGAATTTTTGTATGTTCTGGTAAAAAACAGTGATCATTATGATGTTATTTTTATTTATTACATTGAATTTATTTATTTTTCCTTCATTTAATTTTTAAAATGTTCAATTTTAAGTAATATCCTATTTGTCTCCATCTTGTTCACATTTTATTTTTCATTTCTGTTTTGCTGATGGACGTTAAAGTGAAACCTTTCAACAAAATGCTTCCTCTATCATATTTTCAGCTAATATGTGCAATACCTTTGTACAATAATATATTGAATTCTTCCGAAATTATTCAGTTAACCATCAAACAATCCATAACTCATTTATAGCAAACAGATGTAAAGTGCAAGATGAGCATCTTAAAGTCAAACTGAAAATATGATTGAACAAAAGCAGCAAATGTAACGCAACCGGAGCAACAAAGGATTTTCCGCATAATTTCAGTCATGAATGAATTTAAGATAATATCGTAACGATGAACAACAATTTGGTAAAAAGAAAAAGTTTGAGCAGCAGCAACCTCCACAATCTCGACCATCTCAACGAGAAACCTCAACACATCAAACCCAACAACAACAAAAAATTGAACCCCTGTAAAGACAACAAATTAGATGAAAACATTAAAACGCTCCAGAGCCACAAACAGAACAGGGGATGTTTCGGCTGCTTGTCTAAAAAAAGTCTTTCTAAAAATGATTTGCCAGGTTGGCTCATTTGTTTTATATTATTCATTATGTTATTCTATTGAAATTTTACAAAATTAATCAAATACCTTCAATGTCTGGACGTGTTCATACAGGGTTTTTTTTGGCTTATTAGGTGCCATTTTATGAAAGTGTTAATAGCTTTCAATGGCTCACATTCAATGCACACAACCATTTGTGGTCGACCGATGCATTGTGATCGTCTGCCAACTTTCAATAATTTATGAAGTAATATAAATAAAAATTTATGGTTAACAACAACACACGTTTAGACGACATTTTCCCCAAGTTCGGGGGTTGCCGACAAAAAAAATTTTAGGGTTAATAATTAATAAACTTTTTTCTGACTGAAAACTTAGTTCAAATTTTTATTTGCTTCGATTTTGTCTTTCATATTTGTTAAACTATCCATGTTTCGCCTGTTTGCACAGACAATTTGAAATATGTTGGCACATGAATTATTTTTATTTAATTGAGTTTTTTCAATTTTTTTCTCATCCCAGATGAAACATTAAACAACTTATTGAAAAAAAATTCTCTAAAGAAACGACCTTTGAGTGACGTTATTAACAACAACAACAACAACAATAGTAGTAATAATAATAATAATAGTAACATCTTGCAAAACATCAACAACAAAAACGTCCTGAACAGCAGCATCAAGAACAATGGCAACATCGTCAACAAAACTAACAACACCACAAAGAAAAACACCATCAATAACCTTCATTGCAGAAACTCAGGTGCTGATGATCATCTCAACAAGAAAGATGAATCAGTGAACTGCAAAACAAACAATGTGAATGTCAACAGTCTCAATCAGGGTAATTTACGTGCACTTGATTCGTTCAACCAATCGGCAGGCAATAGAAATGTTAGTAAAGTTCGTTCAGCCGCTGGAAGTGATTCAGCAAGCAGCACGCTATTAAAAAACATCAACAACAATGTGTCAACTTCATCAACCTTTACCTCGGACAACGGTAACAATGTCTCAAAATACATCTCTGCAGCAAGTTTTTCAATTGAAGAAACATTGCCACTCTATTCTGCGAGCACCAAATCGCGACAATCATCAGAATGGAAAGAAACACGTAAGTCTGAAACGTTGGCAGGCAGTCCTACGAAATGTGTTGAGACAGTTTTAATTCATGTTCCATCGACTGAGCATGCAACTGATAAGAAACAGCTGACAACGTTCAGATACAGTTATCCTACCAATACCAAACCCCAACTCTATAATAGTGATTTTTTACATCAAACGCAACTTTCGACAAATCCAGCAGCAACGACAACGTTGATGGCAACATCAGCCGCAACAGCTGCAACAACCGATCCAAGCGTTCTGCTAGCAGGTGAAGTAGATGCAAGAGTTACTGGCAACTACATAACGATCGGTGCTCCGTTCACTGCGCCAACAACTCTGCAAAAGCAAAATGCAACAAATCGACGTAATGAAGCAAATGTCTCCACATCGTGCACTGATGGCATCATTTATGACAGTGTCAGTCACTTCAACAAGCAGCCCTTCATTGGAAAACCTCAGCAAATGGAAAGCGTTAAGAATGGCGATGATGTTAAGAACGATGACCTCAATAATATTGAATTCTACCATGCCGTTGGGAGGGAGATGATTAAAGAAATGGGTTTGTTTGTTTCCTTGCCTTCATGATGAGGTTGATGTTGTCTCCTGACAAAATGTCACCCCGTCTTCAATGTTGTCATGTTCAATGTTGTCTTCACTTTGTTTCTATATGATGACATATTAAAATAAATGTTCGGTTTCAGATTTCGTTAAGCTCTTTTTATTATTTATTTTTGATCGAGTTTTCATATAAAAAAGCATTTGATGTTTTCTAAAATGAGACTTTGTTGTCTTTTCTCAAAGTACCCATGTATATATGTAGAAAAGCCTAATTTTTGCATATAGTTAAATTAGGCCTGAAATTTTTTTTTTAAGTTTGCAATAAATAAAGATGAAGTAATTGATTTGAGTGTCTGCATGCTCAACTTTATCAGAACTGCTGAAGTTTACGAGAACTTTTCATTGATAGGATATTGACGGTTTTTTTCTACGATTGAATGAAATTGTGTTTTTGAAACTATAACTGATAAATAATAGGCAATATTTTATAAGAAGTATCACCATCATTGATATCATGAGACCTTTTATCATAATTTTGATATAAATCATATACGCGACAGATGCTGAAGACTTTGACTCAATTCAGTTTGCGTGTTACAGAACAGCTCAAAAGTTGAATTACATCAGAAAAATCCTGCACTGTTAGTATGTCATCATAAACTTCAAAAAAAATTAATTAAAAAATTTTTTTGTTTTCGTTTTTTTAATTCTGAAATATATGATTTTATTATGATCATATATGAAATACATAGGATAATTTTACAGATATTCTCTTAATTCGGATCAGTACAAACGTTCTTAGTTAATATTAGGTATAATATGATGAACAGTGAACGCTAACGTGTTGACGGAATGGAAGGTCTTCCCGTTAATTATTGGTGGCAACTTTTAATGCAAATGAATGAAATAAATAATTTTTACCTACTTGCTCAATTATTTAACGTTTGCATCGCTGCTCATTTTAATTTTTTTTATGGCAGTGGACCTGTAGCTACGCTGGCTATGATTCTTCATTGGTTTTTGTTTTATTCCATTTTTACTTTTTATCGAAATGCCATAAACACAGCGTTTAATTTTCTTAATTTTGATGTCAATTTTGTTACAACTGCCTAGATGAAAGTTTGCTGTTGAAATAAGATTGATGATATAAGAGGAAATGTGTTTTTTTTAGCTTATTAAATTAAATAGCTGTCTCTTATAATGCAGCTTTTTTATAATTCATACTAAAATTTGTCATACAAAAGATTAATTTATCAGAGCTGAAAAAACTGTAATTTTTTTATATTTCCAATGATTTTCTGCTTTTGCAACTCACAAAACACTAAACAGATATAACCTGTGAATGTATAATATAAATGATTATTGTAATAGTCTATATGATGAGTTACTTGATCAATCCATAGCGGACTGCAGTCAGTATCAGTATCAAAAATTTGTATAGCGCCTTTCTTGAAAGACCTCAGAAGCGCTTTCTGGCGGGCACATTGCTGAAATAATGGTGCTTCAACATTCTTTTCAATCGAAGCCTATCAGTAATAGAACCATTCTTCAGCTGCACAAGAAGTGATTTCCAAACCTTGGCTGCGTCCTTGAACCCCCGACACCGGCACCAGCTGCTCACTCAGATAAAGCGGATCCTTGCCATTTAGGCAATCTCTGACCAACAGTACCGTACAAAAGTACAAAAGTCAATACAAAATCGCGCTGCAAAAGTTGTTGTCGGAACTCCAGCATTAAAAAAACTTCGCTGGTTGACCATGGGAAAAAAAAAGTTTTCAAAATATCAGCCCTCATTTGCAAGTCAATCAGTGAGATTGCATCGACCCACCTGTCAGGCAGGCTTAGAAAGAAATCATCAACATCCTCTGCTGTGCATCTGAGGTCCAGTGATTTGAACTTGCTTTCGGTTCCAACGACGACGAGATGCGAGAGGAATTTTTAAGAATTTATAACTTGTTGGATTTGTATGATGGGATCAGGATGTTTAACATGCAAATCTAATTTTATTTGCTTTATTTTGGCTGTATTAATTTTGCGAATTTGATATTATATGTTTATTAGTATTTCATTCACATATTCCGAACCAAAATCGATCTTTAATCTGATGAACTTTAATGATCGCTCTTAATTTTCAATAACAGTCTTTATGTTTGTTGTTATCATTACTTAAAATTTACATAGCGCTGATTGAAATAATGACTTTCATCAGCGCTACACAGTGATTAAGTAAACTTAAGTACCTATAAAGTATATATCAAATTGTTCTTTACTTTGTTTCATTTAATTTGTTCGAGACTTTCTCTTTTCAAGTTTGTTGACGGCAAGGGGTTCGTGCAGGCCATTTTTTTAAAATAAATGAATAAATTAATGAATGAATAAATTAATAAAAGAAGACATTGTTGTCGTTAGTAATAAACAGTTCCAAGAAAGACACTGTGAGTTTAAAATTTTACATCGCCAGGATTATTATTTATTTTTCACTCCTGTAGCTCCTTTTTCGTTAATTATATAGTTATTTCTTTTCCAATTATTTATTTTCAAGGACTTGTAATGTATTTTATATTTTAGTCTTACAATGGTTATTCTGATGACCTTATGGAGTTTTATCTCTTTTAATGAGATGTTTCAATGTTAAATCTTAAGTAAGTGACTTGTAGTTGTACAATACACTTCGTATTAGTGATAATAATAACAATCGTAATAAGTGCTCATAGTCTTTGTTAATAAATTTTTTCAAAACTTTTGAACTTTCGTAAATTCGACCAGTGCATTCAGTAGACTTGCACCACATCATTCGGGCAACGGACAACTTGTTTGATGAAAGCCTACCGAGCAGCAGTCGATGTGTTGATGTCATGCTGAACATTGCAGATGTCCTGCAGATTTCGAGCAGCTGCTATGTCAACGACAACTCCGATGATACCGTTTTTCATCCTCCTTCGCAAAACAATCTGACAGATGATGATGACGTTTTCCTTAGCTTCAATCAAGACAAAAAGGCCGGTAAGATAATTTGCAACGATATTTCAGGTCATGATAAAGTAACGCTGCTTGTTGGCTGGCTGCTCCACATTTATGATAGGTGATAATTTACATTTTTTTTATCGTTAAATATCTATCCATACGTTACCAATTAATGTTGCATGTCTGCTGCTAGTTCGTTTTGTCTGTTTCTTGGCGCCAATTAAACGTTCAAAAAATGAATTATTTTATTAGTTTTTATGCTTTATAAAAGTTATTGGATTTATTTTATTTGATTTGTTTTTATTTTTATAATCTGAGCACTTTTTACAAAATAACCTAATTTACAAATTAAATAATTTGAAAAACGTAAAACACACAGCAAACACACATATAAACACAAGCACGCACACACACACACACAACAGCATGCACGCACATGCAAACCCACTCAGATGCCACAAAGGTCTTGTGCCACTCTTTTCTCTGAAGGTTGCTTTAACAAGTCTTTGCAACGCCTCACTTCTTCATAAACTTAAATGTAACTATTGCTGTTATTGTGGTTGTTGTTGTTGTTTTTATTTACTATGATTGAATGGAAATAGAGCAAAAAAAATATAGGAAGGTATTAAAAGCAATAACGATTTAGTTTCCAGTGTGATAGCAGGACAACTGGAAATTTGCTCGTTGTTCAGTTTTTGTTGTTGTTCGTCACTTTTTTTGAAAAACTATAAGCGTCGCTGCTGCTTTGTATGTAACTGTTTGGTAGATATTTTGTTTTATTTCAAGTTGAAGAATTATGTTGCACGTGAAACTATTAAACTTTAGATATTTTCAGCCATTTATACGACGAGGAGGGTTCACTTAACAGACTTAACTTACGTACATATCTTCAGCACACCATCGCTCTCACGTCGTCACTATCTACTCAATCGGCTGATGTCAGTTCAACTGAAGTGAGTGATTGATTGTTTGGCATGATTGCTGGGATAGATTTATTGCTGTGATAATCGATGTTGTTTCTAAATATGTCTTGTGCTCCGTGGCGTTCGTGAAGAATTTCAGTTCGCCACCGCTTTCAATTGCACTTTTTTAAAATTTACATTAAGAATTGGTTACAGATTTTTACGAAAGAGTGTTCTATGCAGTAATTATTTTTTATGCAATTGATGCAGGGAGTTATTAATGGAGATGACATGGAAGTTTTGATGGACCAGATGCTGCGAGGAACAGTTCCCGAGTGCCTCTCATGGCTTCAGGCGCTGCACAACATTATCAGATACGAACACAGTTAGTTGATTGTTAGTGAAAATAGCTGAAAGTCCTGCTAGATGTGAACAATGTTAGGCTTATTGTGATACTTGTAGTAGAAACTTGTTATATAAATTTTTCAGTTGACTATTGCATACATCGTTTTCACTATTAATATGGACACTCAGCCATTATATTGCTTGCCAGTAACACACCCGTACGAGTGCATATCGTGTCACGTTATGAATTTTACTGGCTTCATGTACGGATGCACCAACTGCGCAGGTCGATTGTGTCAGTGGTGCGTTTGGAAGGGCGTTCATGACGGCACTCATGATGTCAGGGAGTTCATCGGAGTGCCTGTCAGTGCTTACTGTTACCATCATTTTTAAATTTAGTAGAATGAATTGATTATTTTAACCACTAAAAACATAAAGGAAGCAGTTTTTAAAAATCTTAAATCTTAGAAAAAAGGACAAATATTATTTTAATCTCTCATAATGAAATATAAAAGAATGAATGCAATCCCTGATAGATCAGTAGCCATAATGCACCAAGCAGTTCGAGTATTCTGTTAGACGCCCCACAGTTATTTTCACGAGATTTTCACCCACTTTCCAACCAGATGCATCATGCTTTGCACAACCCCAGTGATCTATCTTCTAATGTGTTTGTTTTTTAATTATATTTTTTATTTCCTTTCTATTTTATATAAAATAAAAATCTTTAATATAAAAATGAATCGATTGATTGATTGGTTGGTTGGTTGGTTGGTTGATTGATTGATGGATGGATGGATGGATGGATGGATGAATGGATGGATGGATCGATTGATTGATTGATTGATTGATTGATTGATTGGGAGCAAAGAAAACATAAAGGATCATATATATAATTTTGTGTCATTTTTATTTGTTTTTTTATTGCCCTTGTAAGTGTTGTCGTTGATTTTGTTATTAATCAGGTTAAGTGTCGAGTTGGTGATGATGTTATTGTTTTTCTGCTGTTTGCTTATTCAAATTAATTTTAATCCTTCTACAAACAGTACAAACTCAGTTTGCGCAATTTTATTTATAAATAAATTTAGAAAATAAGCGAGCTTCAATTTTTGATTATCTGCAACTGACGTCTGAAAGTTTGAGGTGTTTTTGTAAAATCTTTAGGTAAATTTCTATTTTACTGATAGAGGAGTTTTGTTCACTTTGGCTCCATATTTTTGCAAGTTTATTGCCCAAATTTATTCCAACATTTTAAGAATTTTTTTTTCATAATTTATTAGGCGTTTTACATGGCAATTTTTGAAAAATGGAAAAAATTGGTGACAATAGTGTCTCCTCCCCAAAAATAGAAATGTTGTTGAAAATTAAAAAATAACAAACATTCAGCATTCGTGCTACCACATTCAACTGAAGTCTCTGGAAAGATATTATTAGAGACCGTCAAATATTACTTACCGCTTCAGGGGGTGGTTTTAAAGTTTTTTTTCGGGGTGTTATGGACAAGCGATAAGGTTTGAAATTTGTTACGTAACAAATTATTTTGGTATTTATCGATAATAAATTTAAATTTAGTGTTGTCTTATGATAACACGCCAATGATATTTATCCGGACTCATCCGCATATCGTTTCGGAAAATGGTTTTTAGTTATTTTTTAACAAAAAACATGAAAGAAAAAAGAATGTTCAAATTGAGGCTTTTACAGATTAAATAGACATGTGCATGATATTTTTAAAAATGTGCCTTTTATTTAATAAATTGTTTTTTTCTACGTAACAGTTGTTTATTACGGAGAGTAGAACCAATTAAGTCGTGTTTCGTGTTAACTAATAATTGTAATGCAGTCCCTGGCCTGGTTCTCTTTATTTTTCTTTTTTCTATCTAACTTCAGAAATTTCCATGCACATTCTATATAACATGAGAAACTATTAATGGCTAAAACATCGGTTCAAAAAACTATAGTAGCATTGAAATAACAACATTTTGAAAGAAAATAATAGACATTATTTTTAAAACATTATTAGTATTATAGGTGATTAGTCAATGGATGGAATGATTCATTGATACAGAAATATCTAATGCAGCACACGGCAGGAAAATTGTCCAAATCCAAACTGACAATTTATTTTTTTTCGCCAGGTTGCAGTCTTGCAAATCGTTTGAGTTTGCAAAAGTTGTGAAAGCTGATCTGTGTATAATATCTAAACAACATTTTATTTAAACACTGCTTAATAAATTTATTTAAATGAAGAAAGTGGCACACAAAAAATAAGTTTTTCAGTAAATATAATCAAGGAAGCAATCAAACCATCAAAGTTTCTTGTAGCAGATGTTTAATTATAAAAGAAATTTTTGAAAAGTTTGAAGGTCTTACAATTCCAAAGTGTAAAGGGATCAACAACACGAAAAACACCGCCTAAACTCACATCAAATTGTCAGATCAACAGAAACACATCTTGTAGCATGAAAATATAAAAACGGAGCAGAAATGTGAACAATGTAATAAATAGAAATAATTAACAACAGTTAAAAAATATCACTGGCATTTTTGCAACTTTTAAAATTTTGCTTTGGGAGTTATTCAATTCAATATAGATTCCGCTGTTTTCGTCTTGCTTATTATTTCTACAAAAAGTTTGCTGAATTTCATGCTACACGGTGTTAATCTTTTTTTCGAAAGCATTTTCTTCCTTATTGATTGAAAATCTGTTATTAGAAAACTAAGAAGAACATTTTTTCTGTCATTTTTAACAATATTTCACTTTTTTTCAATAATTTTATTTTTATGGTAAGCCTGGCAAGGTCATCAAATAATATCTTAAGTCACAAGGTATTGCCTTCTTTTGTTCACATGATGTGAAATGAACCTTTCTTAAAAATATTTGTGGATTCATTTTTTTATCTACTTTTTGTGAAATTTTAAGTTATTTAAATTTTTTCATAAAGTGCGCTTTTTGTATGATGAAAACGTGCTTCAGGAACCATTATTGGAGCTAAAACAGGAAAAGCAAATTATTATTATTTCAGAAATAATATTTTTTCTGATGTAGTAACAGCACTTGATTTGCAAGTACAGTCGGACCTCTGTTTTACGAATTTGATGGTTCCAAGAAATAAATTCACTATAGAAATTTAGTTGTATAGAACTTGTTCGGGGAAAAAGTCTAAATTGCCTAAATGGTGTTTATATGCTACACATTTAAGAAAAACAACTTCTCAATCATTTATTTTTATAACAAACAGTAATACTACTTAGTGTAATTGCAAAAAATATGGAAACGAAGTATTATATTATAATGCTATATACATTATATTATATTGACGTAATATTGTATGTACTTAACATATATAACAAAAAACGAAATTCCTACGTAAAACAGTAATACAGAAATATAACTTACAGTTTACTATATTCAACATTTTTTTTCAACTGTCTGATATCATTTTTAACCAAACACTTAACTGATAATTCTTCCAAAAAATGCTCACACTTTTATAAACATTGTTCGTTTTGAAATTATTTTTGTTCTATAGAAATAGTTTTATATTTAAAATTCCAAGGGACATAAACAAGTTTGTTAAATAGAGATTTTTGTTATATACAGCCAAGTTCGTTTTAAAGTCTGACTGTATTTTCGAAAATGAAAACAAACAATAATTAATTCAACGTATATCCATGTGTTTTTTTATTAATGAAAAGGCAAGATGTGACACATTATTTTACATTTATTAAAGTTAACTAGGATCAAATGAATAAATTAGATAACTGTTGGAATATATGTCAATTGAACTATACACCAATTGATCCCAGTTTTATTATAGTTTGTATTATTAATATGCCTTCTATAATTGTTTATTATTAAACATTGAATTGAAGTTACTGACGTAACCTTGTAGTTCAGTGGATTTGCTATTAATAATTTGAACAAGACTTGATATTTAAGATCATAATAGGGATTTTTAAAAAATATTTTTCGTGAACATTTTGCGGTACATTTTATAGCTTTCTTCATTTCAATTATCACAAAGATTAAAACGTAGAAAAGATTAAAACATCTATCATCATTTAATGTTCATGTTTAATCAGCATCCGTATGTTAATCGTTAAAATTGGTTTTTTACTATTCCGTATTAAATTTTGATCATAACCAATTTTAGTAAATTTTTTTTTATTTAACTATACTACTATACCAAACACGCTACTATACACGAAATTTAAATTATCCCCTATTTTGAAATTAAATTCAACGCCGATTTTCATTAAATTTAAATCCTGTTCACTGTTAAATTCAAACTTATATTGAATAACATATATAGGAAATTCTTTTTTGTCGTGCAAAAGTTATTCGTAATAAATTTAGAATGTTTGACCAAATAAATTTTATACAATCGCTAGGATAAAATTTTTTATAATATATTTTTCTTTTCTTATTATAATGTATTGTTATATTCTTTTTGTTTGGTAATACATTCTAATTAACGTTAAAATAATTTCAGAAGTTTTATTATATAAATATGCTTTATTAAAATGTAGAAACACTACAGTTTTTTCAAAACGTTTATGCCATTCACCATTATTGCTCTGAATTATTACGGCACGCTTTTTTTGCATTGTATTACCAGACTTTATCGAACCAGACTTTTAAATAGTCTGGTACGGTTGCGTTTCCTGTCGAATAATTTCTGACCATAGGGCGCGATTTAAACTTTTTCCCCCAGATAACCAGTGATTTTTTTTTTATTTTTTATATAGTTTGAAATGGTGTCAAATTTTGAAACTCATGCAAATAATCTGGCTGCAAAGTTTAGAACCGATTGAATGAACGCCAGATAACATTTGTTTACATCATGTGGAACGGAGTTGCAAAAGTCACTCTTTGAGTAAACCAAACTATTCACTAATATTTTTTTCTGTCAGAAAATGTCTGATTGCTTTAATTCGCTTTACTGGACGTCAGCGAGCATTTGTTACGATAGACCATTATGTTCTGTTAAAGCGTCTGTCGATTCCATTATTTGCGTTATTGATGATACTTTACAGTGGTTTAGTTCGTATTTGTCTGACAGATCACGAGTTATCGTTGGTTATGGTGATTTGGATTCAGTTTAAACAATCTTGGTTTGTTGTGTTTCACGTGGCTAGGTTCTCGGTCATCAATGGTGGTCTTGTACTTTTGCTATTTAAATCTATTCATTTTGGTTGAAAGTTTTCCATTTCTTCCTCAAAGATTTGGAATGACTTACCAGTCGAACTGATTTAAAACATTAAGGTTGACTGTGATGATTTGAAAAAGCGGCTTAAGCATCGTTTGTTTATCAAACGAGCGTCAAGAAAGCACCTTTCAAGTTTGCTTACAAGAAGCGCCCTACAAGTTTTGGATACGATACAGTACTACATATGAATCAGGAGTCAGTTTTCCAACGTGATACTGAGCTGCAGTTGTATGGAATCATTTTATTCTATTTCGAGAAACAAAATCATCTGTGTAGACCTAATGAATAATTAATCGATGCTGTATTGTACATATTCGCTCAAAATGCGGCCATAATTATATAGCCTTTTCAAAAAAACACTTTTGTTCGAAAAAATAATTAAGAATTTGTTAATTTCATAAATTATACTAATGTAATTTTTTTTAAATAAAAGTTTTTAACGAATATTTCTTGGATTATAGCCAGTTTCCCATTAAGCATAGCTACGTTTGATTTTTGAAAACGAAAGTGGATTAAATAAATTTTGAAAATTGCTCCCCCATCAAATGCATTTGATGATTCATTACAGGATATCGTGATTTGTGGACAAATAAATTTTAAGTATGAGTTTGGCTGCGAAACGAAATCAGCAATAAAACAATTCTTTGAAAAAATGTAGCTCTATCGCCGATATATGCCTTTTGTTGTTTTAATACACAACCTTTGCGAACATTTGGACGAAAAATTATTATGCATACATATACATATATACACGTATAAATATATTACAAATATATCTACTACAGTACACGTATGCACGTATAGAACAACATGTACGTACAATGCATATAGGAGCGGCGGCACGAGTACGTGTAGATAGGAGACGCAGGCAGGTGCGTGCGTGCACACAGATAGCTGCTCCGATGCTATGCATTACAGCCTGCTTGTCATTCAGCAATTTCTTCTTCCTATTCTTGTGCTGCAGTTTCTTTCATTATTATTATTCTTATTATCATCATCACCACTTTTGACATGTTTTATCATCGTCATCATCATTGTTTCGTTGTTATACGTGTGTGGATCGGATGGCGTGGAGAATTTATTTTAAATAATTCTTCGATGGATGCTTTTTGCTGACTGAAATTTTAACCTTGTTGTTCATCAGCCGCGGATATGATCTGTCTCGAATTCTAAGTGGGTTTTCTTTAATTAAAAATGCTTTTCTTGTTTGTGGTTATTTATATACTATATAGTACATTTTCACGAAGTAATCTGCAGTCTTTCATATACAAAATATTATATTTATAATGTGTTTTTTTATATATTGTTTTTTATTTGTATTTAAAAAGCATTGTATTTATAAATTATTTAATTATAATTATTAAATAAATTCCTTTATTATTTGTTGAAATTAACGTACAATTATGGAATGATTAAAATGTACCCCACGTGAGTAGGAAACAATGAATGAATGGATTAGTAATTTAATATGGTTAATTAATTAATTTAATTGGTTAATTAATTATTTAACTATCAATTTGTTATTAAATGAATAAGCTAATTATTAACTAAGTAACGGTACTACGAATGAATAATTCATAGATCTTAACATTTCATAAATTTTAAACTGGTCTCCTACCATCTTTTTTATTTTTATATATAAGTAGTCGAAGTGCAGATCATGACGTCATTATTTTATTTGATTACAGTTTTCCATAATTACAACAAAGCTCTGCATTCACTTTTGCTTGTTCACTCATTGTACACTGTACAGTCGTTCATTTGTTCTAAAAATGCGCTGCCCTTACGATTTTAAGAAAAAAAATTTGTGAGTTAGTACACCGTAAAATATTTCTGTAATCAAATTATTTTCGCTTAGTCAAGATTTCCAGAATTACTTAATTTCAATTTAAAAACCAGTTAAGTTTTGATTTATGTTATGACTATTAGTTTTGTCAACGTGGATGTGTGGCATGTATGTTGTTATATCGTGTTGCATGAATGTTTGTGGTCTGGGGTTGCTTGAGTGTGGTTGCCACAATTTTATCTCCCACCTACTCCTGCTTCCTTTGCGCTCGCATTCTTGCTGCAATTAGGTCAGCTTTTAATATTTGTTTATTTTTTATTCAGGTAAAGTAAATCATTCCAAATTTTTAATGCTAAGACACGTGCGAGCAGCATAATCACTATTAGAGTTCTTTAAAAATTGAATTTTGACAGACGCAAAATTTATGTCCGGTTACATTTGAATAGATCACATGTAAAAATAATAAAATATCGAATTTTGTGTGAAGTAGTTAATAAATATGTGGTAAAACTAAAAAAATGCTTTTTTAGTGTCCCTAGAAGTGAAATCTAAAATACAGAAAGCCAGCGTATCGTAAAACCAACTGAAGCAAGCTAAACTAAACTCATTAGACAACCACCCCTTTAGAACAAGCAAAATTAAACTCATCGAAGACAAAGCAAAAAAATTGAAAAGAAAAAATTGAGAAGATAAAATTGAAAGAAAAAACAAATCGTAAAAGTGTATATTATAGGGCAGCCTCAATTATAGCTATAAATTTAGCTATAGAATATAGAAGTAGTTAGAGAAGAAGGTAAAGACTTACAGAGAAAAGGGCCAAAAAAGTAAACGCAGATATAGCATATAAGAGTGTTTAACAGAAGTTAAGAAGAAGTAAGAACGAGTAGACGATCGTAAACCAGGGTGTTTAGGCTTAATTAATAAATCTGATAATAAATGAACATATTGTGTAGTTTTATTTTTTCATAGGATTTGTTTATTTCAAAATAAAACTTTATTTCCGCCTACAAAGAAGTTGAACCTTCAATCAAATTAGTAAGAAATTGTTTGCTGCATTCAGTTGTTTATTATGTGACATACATTTAATAAAGCTGTTATTCAATTTTTTATTTTCTTATTACGCTATTTTTCATTTTTTTAATAAGAATAACAACGTTATTGTTTTTCAACAAACTGTTTAACACTGAAATTTGATTGTTTTTGTCATTGTTTAAATTTTTATTTTTGCACAATTATAATTTTGTAGTGCACCTAAAAATGACGCTGCGCATCCCCTGCCCGCTGTTAATGGATTGCACCATTGCAAGACTTCAACTGCCTACTCACAGCAATCCATAATCAAACCCATTCAAGCTACTCTCATTATGCATTCTGGGAATTTGTGAGTTCGTTAAGATTATTTGCTATTCATTCATCCTAATTTTGTAGGTAGTAGAATAGAATTTGTATTGATACATTTTTAATAACTTGAAAGCAAAAATAAAATTGAAAGGATGCATGCATTTATTTTTTGTTATTTTCTATTCATTTGCTAATGTTATTATTTCATGGTGGTTATGGCAATTTCTTATAAAGTCCTAACGTTGTAACTCACTGAAGACTGCAATGATGAATGATTGATGATGCATGTGTAGTGCAGGAATGGGCAGACGATTGATACCTCACACAAGCGAAGATGATGAACACAAACTCATTTCAAGATACGTTCACAGACTCAAGCAATCCACCGCCAGCCAACAAGTTGTAAGTAGTGCATGAAACTTTCCTGTTCTTTTTTACCATTGATTATTTAAAACTGCTCCGATTAATAAGTCTTTTCAATCCGAACATCACTTTTTTAAATAATTTGTTTCGTTGCACTGCGTCCTTTACAAATCTTTGTAATTTGCATTGAAAAATAAGATCTTGTAAACTGATCTTATAACCTGAAAATGTGCTGACGGTGATCCTACTACATGTGTGTGTGTGTGTGTGTGTGTGTTGTATGTGTATGGGGTGTGTGTGTATGTTTGTGTGTGTGTGTGCTTGTGCAAAAACAAAATTGTTATCACATTGACATTTCTATCAGACATTTTTCTAATTTTGTTAAAACTTTCCATTAAATCATACCATCTCTAGCTTTTACGTATCACTGCACCTCCAAAATTATATGTCTCAATTCCAACCCTGGTGTACCATTTTTTATAATTTTAAACCTCAGCAACTCTAATTCATATAAATAAGCGTCACTTGTTATCCAGATATATCTAGATATATCGAGGTATACGTCTGTTAGAACACTCCTTGAAAATTGTCGAGAAAATCATTGAGAGAAAATTAACGTCGTGCATCACAATCGGAAATTATCAATTTAGTTTCCTAGCGGGGAAATCAACAATTGATGCAATTCACATCATTCTGCAACTGCAAGAGAAGTACCTCGCAAAACATCAACAACTATCACACATTTTTGTAGACCTTGAAAAAGCATTTGATCAAGTCCCCGTGAAGCAATCAGGTGGAGTTTACGTCGACAACTCATTCCAGAATATCTTCGACTTGTGATGGAAATGTATACGAATGCTAAGACTCTCGTCTGCATAACGGTTGGAAACTCAGATGCGTTGGAGTTCACCAAGGCTTGATTCTTAGTCCACTGTTATTTATAACTGTGATGGAAGAAATCACAGAGACAATACGCACTGGTGACATTTGGAATCTAATATATGCTGATGATATCGTTTTAACAGCCACGTCTGAACAGAATGCAGCACAGATGTTTGAAGATTGGAACACCAGACTGGCCGATCATGAATTCAAAGTGAACATCAGCAAAACCAAAGCAATGAACCCATCCAATCTACAGCTACTGGACGATGGCCCTGTTCAGTTTGTAAAGCAGGTGTAGGTAACAATTCAATCAAGTGTCAGCAGTGTAACCAGTGGTGTCACAAACGTTGTTCAAAAATAAAAAATAATTAGTACTTTATCTAAAGTGTCCAATTTTGTTTGTCCTGCTTGCACCAATCCACAACAAAAAATTCGAAATTGCAATGTTTTTGAAGCCATTAAGGTAGAGAAAGTCACATCGTTTCAATATCTAGGGGATGTTCTGAATTGTACTGGAACAGCTGAAGATGCCGTTCGAGCATACGTGCAGCCTGGAATAAATGGCATCTCCTTGCCTCTATATTGATGCGGCGTGACATCCCACTACCACTACGATCAAGACTTTATAAATCTGTGATACGTCCGGTGTTGTTATATGGTGCAGAAACATGGCCAATGACAACCAAACTGGAACAACAACTTCAACGAACCGACATGAAAATGCTCCGATGGATGCAACGAATTAGTTTGAAGGACCACATCAAATCTACCGAAATCCTGCGTCGTGCTGGTTTAGATGATATAAAGGACGAATGCCGGCAACACCGTCTGCGGTGGTTTGGTCATGTCAAACGAAGTGGAAACAGTGCCATAACTTCTCTTGCAGATGTTGAAGTACCTGGCACACGTCCCAAAGGCCGTCCAAAGAAGTCCTGGTCGCAAACAATCGAGCAAGACATGAATTTTCTAAATTTAAATGAAATGGATACAACTTATCGTCTAATTTGGCGCTAAAAATTGATGACAAAGAAAACAACGTCCTACCTCGGGGAACTGGGTCTCTGGACGCTAAACGAAGATTGATTGATTGATTGCTTGTTATCCAGATGGCTGATGTTCGTTATTTACTACTAACGTCGTATTGCTGTTTTTTTATACTTGTGACATTTTAATTTGACGCATTTGAATTTTTAAATTTTCAATGTATTTGGTTGAATATTATTTAAATCTCCATATAGATGCATGATCCTATATCGGAAAGGCAAAATTTAGTTTTTGAGCTCGAAGCAAAAAATAGGTAATTTTTCTTCATTTAATATTAATTTATCAAATATTTTTTTGTCAGATTGAAACTAGAGTTTAACAGAGACTAGTGAATTTTAACAGAAAATTGTTTATGATTTCAGAGAAATACAAAAAGAGATTCAGAGATTGAAATGCCAACAGCGTCAACAACAGCAGCGAGAAATTTCTTCGTCCTCTGCTCAATTCTCCGAACTGGACTCAGCTGATGAGAACAACGTCGTTGATGGCAACTTGTTGAAGGAAATTAGATTATTGAGACAACATCAGGAGGAACTGGAAGAGAGAATGAAGGGTCTGCAAGGAAGTAGGAGAGGACTCATTCAACAGTTGGAGGGATTAATGAGAAAGTTTAAGGTAGTTCAAAAACGTCATTTTATAAATTGAATTTGTTTGTTTTCGCGATCAATACTTGGTTTAAGACCGCCCAAATAGCACAACATTACAAACGTCTTACCCACGATTGTCGTTTTCAACTGAAGTTATTGAAATTAGCGAAAAAATCGCTTGACATGCAATTTGCGGTGGATCTGAACAACTTTGAAATTTGAAAGGAGTATTCAAAAACTGACAAATGTTTGAGCGCGCGATCAAAATAAGTTGGCGACTTTTTTTGGTTAGCGCGCACATGTTCGTTACGAAGTCGTAAATGTGATTTATGTAATTATTTGGATTAGTTTATTGTTTCTATTACTGTCGGTATTCAAATAAACGTTCAACAAAGTTTGCGTTTGAAGCAGTTGTGTTCATCTATCGAAAATCTTGAACCTACGTATAATCGAACTCTTGACGATCGTTGGAAGCTACAATACTAGTGTTGTTGGAAATATGGAGATTATTGAAGTTATAACATCGGTGTTAGTAGTTACGAAAATCAAGTATTTACAACAATATATATATATATATATATATATATATATATATATATATATATCTTAAACATAGATGATATATGTTGTATATGTGGTTTATTTATCAATTTTTCATAATATTTAATCATCAATTTTTATAAAGGCTTTAACCAATTAATAAATCAAATCGATTCAGATATTTAATGAATAAATTTTTCTATTTATCAAATGTTATAAATTTTTAATGATAGCTGGCACTTCCTAATTTTTCTATAAAATGCAGCCATCCATGTCTCCATCAGTCTGCAGTCCACGTTCCTACGCTGGGGAGGCAGCTGCTTTCTCATTCTCACCGGAACTCACCTTTTTTGATTCAACGCTACCAAACCAGCAACAAATAAAACATTCACAGCAAATTATTTCTCCATTCCAACAAATTAAGTTTCAACAACTGCAGCAAATGCATAGCAACATTTATCAACCGCAGCAAGCTCATATTCAACAAACGTCATTGCCTCGGCAGAAATTTGTTCCTCAGTCACAACTTGCCCCTCGCTTCATTGCACCATTGTCTCCGCAACGAATGCCCGTCGTTCAATCTTCTACTCCATTCAACCAGCAACAACTTCTACTTCAACATCAACTGAAATTTGCTGCTATTTCGCAAGCCAGTGGTGTCGCTTCTCAGTCTCATGAGCAGCAGTCAGCCTCATCTCCGATCTCGCCATTGTTACCATGTCGACAACTACCTCAAACATCGCCGGCACAATCTTCTCTGGACAAGTTAACAGAATCTCCACAGCACGAACCTCCGTCGGATCAATCATCGAGGCTGGATCCTGTTATCTATTCAATGGGAAGTGATTTCCACCAAGCATTCCTTTTTCCATCCACTTCCATTGCTTCAGGTTCACTTTGAAAACATTACACTATCTGTATATCTCATTCTTTTTTTTAAGTTTACCTGCATTTATTTATGTAAAGACATAAAATTATTTTTTTGAATTCCATTCATGCCAACTATTTTTTTCCATAACTCATACTTTTTTCAGTTGTTTTAATTTAATAGAAGATTATTAATATATGAATTATGAATTTCATCGTTGCAGTTTGTTTGAGGCAAGATTTGTTGCATGCCACAGATAAGGTGACCTCCGCTATGAGCACTCTTGTCAACGAACTTAATATGGGTTTGTTGGAAGGATTATTCGAGAGTTCAAAATAAAACAAATTTAAAAAAAACTTTCAAAGTTTCTTGATTGAATTTAAAACAATAATATTATTTGTAAATTTGTTCGATTAAATAAAATTTACTTTAAAAAATATATTAAAAAATATAGTTACAATAACTATTTGGAATTTAAAAAACGGAATCCTTTTTAAAAAGATGAGTGGTTAGCTACGCAGTCGCACAGCTACGCAGTTCCACAGCGCCACAGATTTTTTTCACCTTTTTTATATAAACTTGTCTTACTGTCATCTTGTCATGTGATGTTCAATTGTAAAATTTTTACCTACTTCTGATGCACCCATGGCCAGCTGATATTTTCAGGGTAGGTATAATGAAGTTATGTTATAAAATGTAGCCAATGTAGCCAATGTAAAACAAAATGTAACACAAAATGTAACAAATTCGGCTTGTTAATCCGGATAAATCCGGTCGTATTTGAAAGTCGATTCCAGTGCAACTCTACAATTATAATTCAAACAACTATACATTATATAGTATATATATATATTATATACAGAATATTATATTGTTATTGTATTGTATATAAATGCAACTGCATAACTTTTGGCACTTTTATTAGAAATATAATAAAGAATATAATGAAAAAAATATGCAACTCCAAAGGACAAACCAAAAAATCGACAAGAATGAATGTAGTAATAAATAATGACAATAATAATATATAACTAATGATAGCAAACACTTGTATAATTAAATATATGACAGAAAAAATAAAATCGTGGAAAGCCAAAATTCTTGGTATTAAATTTGCTTGATGGCATGATAATAACTGCAGGTATCCAAACGTTACTACAACTTTGTCGTGAAATCTGGAGAAATTGCTCAATGCCGACTGAATGGAATCATAGCATGACAGTTCCGCTATACAAAGGCAAAGGTGATCCATTGAACTGTTCATCATATCGGTGTATACGTCTGTTAGAACACTCCCTGAAAATTGTCGAAAAAATCATTGAGAGAAGATTAACGTCGTGCATCACAATCAATTTGGTTTTCTAGCGGGGAAATCAACAATTGATGCAATTCACATCCTTCGGCAACTGCAAGATAAGTACCTCGCAAAGCATCAACAACTATCAGATATTTTTGTAGACCTTGAAAAAGCATTTGATCGAGTTCCCCGTGAAGCAATCAGGTGGAGTCTTCGTCGACAACTCATTCCAGAATATCTTGTTCGACTTGTGATGGAAATGTATACGAATACTAAGACTCTTGTCAGCACAACGGTTGGAAATACAGATGCATTTGACATCGGCGTTGGAGTTCACCAAGGCTCGATTCTCAGTCCACTTTTATTTATAACTGTGATGGAAGAAATCACAAAACCGATACGCACTGGTGACATTTGGAATCTAGTATATGCTGATGATATTGTTTTAACAGCCACGTCTGAGCAGAATGCAGCACAGATGGTTGAAGATTGGAACACCACACTCGCCGATCATGGAGTCAAAGTCAACATCAGCAAAACCAAAGCAATGAACACTGGTGAACCCATCCAATCCACAGTTACTGGACGATGGCCCTGTTCAGTTTGTAAAGCTGGTGTAGGTAACAATTCAATCAAGTGTCAGCAGTGTAACCAGTGGTGTCACAAACGTTGTTCAAAAATAGTTGGTACTTTATCTAAAGTGTCCAATTTTGTTTGTCCTGCTTGCATCAATCCACAACAACAAATTCAAAATAGCACTGTTTTTGAAGTCACATCGTTTCAATATCTAGGGGATGTTCTGGATTGTACTGGAACAGCTGAAGCTGCCGTTCGAGCACGCATACGTGCAGCCTGGAATAAATGGCATCTCCTTGCCTCTATATTGATGTGGCGTGACATCCCACTACCACTACGATCAAGACTTTATAAATATGTGATACGTCCGGTGTTGTTATATGGTGCAGAAACATGGCCAATGACAACCAAACTGGAACAACAACTTCAACGAACCGACATGAAAATGCTCCGATGGATGCAACGAATTAATCTGAAGGACCA